AAAAGCCGCGCACCAAAGGTCGCTCTTGCCCAGGGTCGCTCTTGCGTGTAGCCGAAGGGGGGCAGAGGGGGTGAGGGTACAGGCAGAGGGGGGAAGGCTCTGGGGGGTGAGTCTGGGAGGAGCGGATGGGGAGGAGGGCGGGGGGAAGGGGGGGGGCAGAGGGGAGAGGTGGGCGGGAGGAGGAGCGGGCATGAGGGATGAAAGGGAAGGGTGAAGAGGATCATGAAAAGACGGCGATTACGGCCATGACGATGACGATGATGACGATGACGATGGTTGCGACGATGCTGACAGTGATGGTGAAGCTGGTGATGGTGCTGGACGGTGAAAGCGCTGATGGTGATGGTGATGATACCGGTGATGTTGAAGGTTGCGTGGATACGCGCGGCCAGGTGCGCGGGTAGTGGTAGTGACAGTGGCGATGGCAGATGGTGGCAGTGTTCCCACTCATTTCTCACCCAGCATGTCCACGTTCCCGCCAGCAGTGCTTGCACTTAGGAGTTCTTACTCCTCTTCTCGGGAACTGGGCCGCAGGGCCGCTCTGGCCGCCGTGTCCCCGTCGTCACCGCCTCGTTGCCGGGCCTTCCGGCCGCTCTGGCCGCCATGTCGCCGCCGCCGCCGCCTCGTCGCCGCCCGTCGCCGCCCGTCGCCTGGGCCGCTGGGCCGCTGTGAGAGCGACCTGCCAGAGTCTGGCCGCCGTGTGGCCGCTGTCGCCGCCTCGTCGCCGCCCGCCAACTCGTCGCCGCCCGCTCTGCATCGCACTGCAGTGCATTGCTCTGCATTGCTCGGCCGTGTTCTGCACTTCTTTGCACTGTTCCGCATTGCTTTGCGTCACTGTATGGCAATCGCACTGCTTTGCAATCGCACTGCGTTGCACTGCTTTGCATTGTTTTGCATTGCCTTTCATTGCTATGCCGTGCTTTGCATTGCCCTGCATTGCTTTGTAAACCTTTGCAATGCTTTGCATTGCTTTGCGTTATGTTGCATTGCGTTGCGTTATTTTGCACCGCGTTGCATTGATATGCATTGTTTTATGTAAGTTAATTTGCGCTGTTTTTGCATTGGTGTTCATTGACTTGCATTAGGTTGCCTTGCTTTACATGGCTTTGTTTTGCTCTGCTTCTCACTACTTGTCATTGCTTTGTATTGCACTGCATTGCTTTGCTGTGCATTGCTCTGTACCGAGTTTGCAGCGCTTTGATTACATCGCATAGAGTGCACCCACACATATTGCACCAATCAAATTGCGCCACCTAGCTTACACCACATATATTGCACCACATGGATAACATCACATGGATTGCACCGCATGGATTGCACCACATATTGCACCACATAGCTTACTCAACATAGACTGCACCTCATGGATTGGACAAGATAGAGTGCACCACATAGTTTGCCTCACACAGACACCACTCAGATACCACCACATAGTATGCTAGAGTACACTGTGTGGGGTCCACGCTTGCTTACATGCAATTGTGACAATGTTTAGTAGCTAAAGCGAAATCGATAAGGCAGTGAGTGGTGACGATGTGGGTTTCGGTAGTGCGGGTGATTGAGGAGTTGTCGATGGTAGTGGTCGCGGTCGCGATAGTCGTTATCACAGATGTTGAGATATGCAGATGAGTCGTAAGTTTGAATCGAATGGTGTTGAACCTCGAACTCCACTTCCTTCTGCCTCCTCCGCCTCCCTTCTTCCGGATAAGCATTGTCAACGACTACCGCTACAACCTATCTAATCGTTTTCTGCGCATCCCTCCCCTCCCTCGCCTCTCTACTCTCTCCCCCATCTCCCTACTCCCTTCCCCCTCCCTCCTCCCTTCTCTCCCTCCTCCCCCCGCTCCCCCTTCCGCGCCTCTCTCTCGCTCTCTCTCTCTCTCTCTCTCTCCCTCTCCCTCTCCCTCTCGCTCTTTCTGATGGTTCTCTCTCTCCCTCTCTCTCTTTTCTTTCCTTCTCCTTCTCCCTCCCTCTCTCTCTCCTTTTCATTCCTCCCCCCTCTCTCTTCCCTTTCTCCCCCCCTCTCTCTCTCTCTTTTCTTTCCTCCTTCCCCCTCCCTCTCTCTCCTTCTCCTTGCTCCCCCCTCCCTCTTTCCTTCCTTCTCCCTCCCTCCTTTTTTTTGTCTCTCTTTCTCTCTCTCTCTATTCCCTCTCTCCCCCTCTCCTCCCCTCTCTCTCTCTCTCTCCTCTCCCTCCTCCCCCCCCCCCCTCTCTCCCTCGGCACCCCCCCCCGCCTCGGGCAGGGCCCGCCCCGCCCTCGAAGCGGGGGCCCGCCCCCCCCCCCCCCCCGGGGCGAGGAGGCCTCCCGCCGGCCGCGGCCCCGCGCGCGGCCGCCCAAAGGCCGCCAGAGGGCCCCGCGGCCCGCCGCCGAGCGAGCGCGCGCGCGCGCGGCGCGGCAGCGCCGCGCCGTTGGGCCGCCGGCCGCCGGCGCCCGCGGCGCCCCCGCCGGCCCCAGGGGGCGCGTCGTGCTCGGGCGCGCGTGCACGCTGTCGACTCCTCGGCGAGGGCCCTGGAGGCGCAGCCTGCAGCGTCTCGAGCAGGCACGGGGAAGCGGGGGAGGAGCCCGAGGAGGAGGGGGAGGAGGAGGAGGAGGAGGAGGAGGAGGAGGAGGAGGAGGAGGAGGAGGAGGAGGTGGAGGAGGAGGCGGAGGGGGAGGAGGGAGGAGGAGGGGAGGAGAGGAGGAGGAGGAGGAGGTGATGGAGGGGGAGGAGGAGGAGGCGGAGGGGGCGGGAGGGCGGAGGAGAGGAGAGGAGAGGAGGAGGAGGAGGAGGAGGAGGAGGAGGCGGAGGCGGAGGAGGAGGAGGAGGAGGAGGAGGAGGAGGCGCACAAGACTAGAAACGTGCCTGGCGAGCGATCACCTCGAGCAGACAAAAAAAAAAGCACGCGCGCGAGGCCGAACAAAAATGCGCAGGGGACCCCGGACGCCCGCGCGGTGGCCTCGGCGTCGTGCGGCGGCCCCCCTGCCGGTCGCACGCCCAGGGCGCCTCCGCTCGCTCCTGCCCTCGCGTGAGGTCGGGCCTGTCCCCCTACAGGGGCAATATCCAAAGATAGTAAAACAGTAGTCTGGGGACTATTGTTGGAGTATTTTGGGGCATCTTTTGATTAATTTTTTGAGTATTTTTTGTTTTTCGTCCAAGATCCCCCTGCCCTCGCGTGCGTCGCTGCTCCCGGCCCCGAGCGGCGCGCGGAGGAGAGAGCGCGCGGCGCGCCTGCCCGCGGCGGCCGGGGCGTCGCGCGGCCGCCGCTGCTGTCGTTTTGAGCGCTCTCGTGGCTCTCCTCCTCCTCCTCCTCCTCCTCCTCCTCCTCCTCCTCCTCCTCCTCCTCCTCCTCCTCCTCCTCGAGGAGCATCCCTGATCATTTGGCCCCAAAAAACGCACGAAACCGGACAACAAACACAGGGAATGGACGTCCGAGCGATGGCGAGGGGGGCGCGCAAAGGAATACACACTTTTTGGATTCGCGGGGCGAGAGCGCACCTCTTCCGGTCGAAGCTAAGCGGGCCGCGCGAAGCTTGAATTAACAAAGAGGGGGGGACAGAAGGAGAGCGGCCTCACGGCAAGGCCAGGAGGAGGCAAAGCCTCGGGATCAGGCGGTGCCGAAGACGACGTGCTTGCAAAGGAATGCCTTGAACAGGAACCCGGTGGCGAAGAACCGGTAGAAGCAAAATGCTGTAGTTGCAAATCAATACACACGGATAGCTGGATTCCCCATATTTTCCCATATTCTCAGGGTATTTGTCTTCCCCCCCCCGCTTCCCATGTTTTTCCCATATCTTTTTATATTGTCCCATATTTGTCGTTGAGCTCTCGCTTCTGAAGAATATCGGGGGTGGCGGTTTCGGTCCTGGGTCTTCTTCATGAGGGGGGGGGTGCTACAGGGAGGTTTGTCCACCGCCGATTGCTCAAGAATATCAGGAGGGAAAAAAGCGCAGACACAATTAATCGTCGATGCCCCAGGGAACTATGGGAAATATGGGAAGTGGTGGGAAGTGGGGGGGAAGACGGAAACCCAGAACATGTTGGAACATATGGGGGCTCCTGTTCTTTGTGTGTGTTGATTTGTGTGTCCAGGGCCCCTTCATTGTTGTTGAGCTCTCGCTTATGAGGAATAGTTATGGTTGATCCCCCCCGCCCGGTGCACATTGTATTTTTGTCGATCGAAGTGCCCCTCCCAGGGTTCGTGCCCTGTTTTTGCCAGGGAAGGTCTTGAGGCTCAAGCTGTGCCGTTGCCCCCCGGGTTACGACCACAACGGCCCCCGCGTGACATTTCCTCACAATTTATGGAAGAATCGCGCTCTCGCTTGGGACTTCCTGGCAAGTTACCACCGATCCCCACAATTCATTCAGGACTCACGCTTCGATCCGCCCGCCGGACACGCCCGTTAGTCGCAGGCCTAGAGGTTGACACCAACACCAATATCGGCGGTGTGCCCCCACCGAGGGAAGGAGATCCCGACGTCGGTGACGGTGGCAATCTTTCGGGTTGCAAGGTGACCGAACTATTACCACCAACGCCGAAATCGAGGATCATCTTCCCCCTGTGGAGGCAGCCCCCTGTGTTGGTGTTGGTGCCTATTGGAGAGGCCTGACGGCCGGTGCCGCCGACCCTGATCGAAAAGGGCTGGGAGTGGGGGGGGGAGGCGGAGGAGGAGGAGGAGGAGGAGGAGGAGGAGGAGGAGGAGGAGGAGGGGGAGGAGGAGTTACGGAGTTACGGATATTGCGACTGTGTCGGTTACGATGACGATTAAAGAGAACGAGCCGCTCTTCTGGCCTTGTCAGCTTTGCTATAAGCTTTAGGCCAGATCCCCCGTTCAATATTCTTTAAATAATCAGCACGATTACCTGTGGCTCTGCCGTCGCACTTCTTTCCGAGTTGGGCCAACTGTTGGGCCGCAAAACTTCCACAAGTGCCACAGAACCAAATCCCCAGCCCAGCGTGAAACTGTAATGTGTGACTGTCGTCAGCCCACCCCCCACAGATGTGCACCCTGCAACGGGGGGGCGGTCTGAGCAAAACGCCATCTATAGCCCTCAGGTCAAAGCATGGGGTTTCCAACCAAAACTTGCGCATACCTTTAGTGGTGGAGCTCCTACACTTCAAACAAGATAGACCGTTTTCAGACAGCGTATGCAGGGTCGAAAACTCTTTACAAACCAAAGGCGCTGGTGGCCTGGGCCCTGGATTCCTGACACGGGTTCCTCGGGGCTCTTCGGCCGCCAGGGCGGCCTCGGCTTTTAAAGTCTCGACTGTGGCCAGTAAAATACGCATGCGGACGGCGAAAGCCATCTTCTCATTCAGGAAAACTTTCGATCTATCAGAGGCTGGGATGCGTACTAAACGAGCCGCTGCCTCGGCCAACTTGTCAGCAGCTGCATTACCTACCGTCAAATACAGAGGTGCTTTACCCTGGAGTACATCACGGGCCTCCTGGTGGGAGTGAACAAAAAGGACCGTGCAAGATAAGGTCGGTTTTCGTCTGAGCACCTGACCTACCTGATACCAAAGGTCCGCGTTTTCCCCCTCTGGGGCGAAGGCCCGCCCGCAATACCATCCTGAGCACACACTGGAATTATCTGTGGTATAGAGCGTGGCACCATCAGCGCCGATCTGCGCTGACAAGAAACTGAAAAGTTCACCCCTGGCAACTGTCTGGACGGGACCTGGGAGGCCTCCCCAAACTGAAGCAACAAGCTGCATATTATCTGAGATGTCAGAATACTGTGCAATTCCACATCCTACTCTGCGGAGCCTGGGATCGGAAGTATCTTCGCCCCCGCTCGCGTCCCCGAAAAGGCACAGGGGGGCCAACGGAGAGCCCACGCCGAAGCAGTTATCTTCGAAAACCTCGACTCCCTCAGACCACCAATCTGCCTCCTCTTGTGGGGGCGGGACGGCTACCCAGGACTGCGGCAGCAAACCTCGGTGCCAGAAACACGGTTCAACTTCATACTGTGAATGTGCTCTGGGTGCATATTCGTCTGACACACGATATATATCATGATCTACACACTTAGAACAGCTCCAAATGCGGTGGAAAGAGGTCTCCCGCTCTGCTCGACACCGTGCGCAAATCTGGGATATCGGCAACTTGGATTTCTCTGACCTGCGCTCCCGTGGCCATGCTGCTCCCGCTGCTGCCGACAGGAGTAGCCCAGCCAGCTGCTTGCCGTTGGGCCCCTCCTCGAGCTGCCGAAGAAGGGCCCGCAAGGAGAGATTGCAGATCCCTCCTTCCATGCCGCCTCCGTCAAAATGCAAGGCTGCCTGCCGCCAAAGCCTCTGCATCACGGCGCCCTCGTATTCCTGCAGGAAAGCCTTCGGCACGTCCACCTGCTCGAAGCCCGTGAAAGCCTCAGGGTTGAACTGCCAGTTGTGCTGGAGCCCTGATCCATCGTCTTGTACTCGCCAATCTGATGGACCCTCTGGCTCCCATCCTTCCTGCAAGAGATAGTTGATAACTGCTGCCTGGGGTCCGCGTATGTGGCGGCTGCGCAGCTGTGGCGGCATGGAACGAAATTCTTGGGCCAAAGATCTCCAAGTTCGCTCGATCCCGCTGCGCAGCGCCGGTTGCGAAACCCATGTCCGAACCCACATCTGTAAACATTCCAGCGGCAAGCGAAGGGCAGGGTCACGCCCTGGTGCAAGAAGGTCCAGCAGCGTGGTGACGCACCGCCCTGTGAGCCTAGGGCTGGAGGCGTCGCACAAGAAGGTCCTCATCTGCCGCATGCGATGTCCAAACATGCCGTGAACTTGATGTGCGTACGCTCCTGCCGCTGCCGCTCCTTGCTGCTCCAGCCTAGCTGTGAGCCGATAGCGACGCGCTGTACGTGCATACTTCAAAACCTTCTTGTGCATCTTCTGATGGCGAGCTGCTCGCACCGTCTTGGTGGCGCGAACGCGGCGCCGTCCTCCGCCGACGTCAACCCCTAGATATGGGGTCTGCGCCGCTGCCGTCACAGAAAAGCCCGCCACCTTGAGCCTCCTCACAACCTCCTTGGCGTCCGCAAGCTTGGTGCACACCACCACGCTTTTCGGGGAGATCTTGAGGCCGTCGTGTTGCATCATCTGGCAGGTCTCCTTCAAACATGCCACTAGCCTATCACGAACTGCTCGTCGTGACCCTTTGGATACCTGACTCAAATCGTCGATCCACAACCGATGTGAAAGATGCACGTGAGTTGTGGTAATCTTCTGCATGATAAAAAATGTGACCACCTTGGCGAAACGAGTGCCTGATCGGAGGCCTTGGACCACCGACCTCGTGGGGCAGAAGGCCTCTGAGTAGGCTCCTGCCTGTCGGAGGCACCGCGCCGACATGCACTGCAGCAGCTCCAGCCCCAGCACCTCGGCTGGGAATTCCAGCCGCAGTGCTGCCTCGCCGAGCCGCAGCCACCCGATCGTGTCGTAGTAGCTGGCGATGTCCAGCAAACCGTGGCCATGGGCCACGCCTAGCCTCGCAGCCAGCTCCTCGTCCACCACTCGGATGAACGCCTCCTGCAGCGCCGCGTTGCCGCGTATCGCGGCGTCCCACGGTGCCTCGCAGTCGTCTGACCACGAGCGCACCCACGGTTCTCTAGTCATGGACCATAGCCGTGCTATGTGGGGCAGCAGTCCGATGACCCTGTCGCCAGCGGTCTTCTTCGGCAACAAGGTGCCGATCGTCAGCAGCAGCTGATGCGGCCACGCCTGGCAGCTTTCACAAGCTGCCAGGATCGCCGCCAACTCCTCGAGCGCCGTGTCGGGAAGCCGATCGGTGTCCAGCGCCGTGAGACGATCGACGCCCATGGCCGACGTCTGCTTCATCTGTCGACCTGCAGCCCGAAGCATCTCGCCAGACAAGGGAGGTAAAGGTTCATCTGCGACGCGTGCACGAATGTCCGCGAACAGCTCGTGAAGCCCATCCAGCTGCTGGCCCTCTGGGGCCCATGGCTCCTGAAACTTGACACTCTTGCGATCCATGATGTCCCGCGGGTGCTGTATGGCCTTATCTCCGTCTACGTATTCATGTGGAATCTGCGGCGACTCCTTGATAGCACGATGAAGGGCCGATACTGCATTCTGAGACTCTGTCCATTCTCGAAACTCAGCGATCGACTGGTTGACTGCTCGTCGCTGGCTTCTCTGGGAAACTCGTTCACTAAACTTGACTGCCTCCGACAACTCCTGCTCGCTCAGGGATGCCACCGACGACAGCAGCTGTACCCAAGCGCTCCAAGAAATGCCGTCCCTAGGCCGAATGACCTGATGCCCCTGCTCAGGAGCTTCTTGACTCAACTTGTCACACGCGGCTAACAACATCTGCTGCTGCTTGGCCCCGTTATTCTTCACTCTATGCTTGGAATATGTATCCAGAACCACATGGACTCTGGTCCACCATCCACTGATGCGATCCCGCAGCGGCGTCAATCTGGCTGGCGTCGCCTCTAAGACCGTGTCGGTACGAAACTTGGCCCCCTCTGCTCGAGAGCGCCCAAGATTGGCCTGGCCGTGGTGCGAGGCGAAACTGGCCTCCACCGTGCGTATCCACGCACTGAAAAGACTGCTGATGGTATCACAATGGTTGGAGCCAAGGGAATGTGCTACGGATCGAACAACAGCAGGTGCGGGCGGGTAAGTACCCGACGATATGAAGCCGACGTTTTTCCTTTCATCGCTCCAAGTGGCCTCGGCTATTTTGAATTCGACGCTTGGCTTTAAATTCCCCTCTGACCGTTCGGGCGATGGCTCTTGAGACTTACAGTGAGACTGTTGCTCGGGGCTACCACCTGGGGGGTATTCACGCTGGGCCGAATTACTCATTACCTGAGGGTCTCCACTCGACGAGAGAGAGGCAGCAGGCGGGGCGGGGGCAGGTCCAAAACTGGGCTCGTAGGCCCACGGGTCCTCCTCGACATCCGAGACGTCAAAGCTGGTGTCCTGCAAATCGCCAAGACCTGTCTCAGCGTCGCTAAGGGGAACCTGCGGACCGACCTCTCCTCCCTCACCTAAAGATTCTCCTGCACTCTCGATGGGAAACCACTCACGAATTCGTTCATGACGCTTCTGCTTAGCCAACTGCTGTGCAAGTCTACGTTCCACCTTGGCTCGGCTCGACTTCGAGCCCTCCACGGGCTGCCGAGCGGGGCGGGGCACCAGTGGGAGCTGGGGTGGTAAGTCCAAAAACCTAGTGTACAATTGGCTACCTTCTGAAACTAACTCGAGACTGAGGCCGATGTGGGGTTTCCAAGGAACGTCCAGGACGGCCCTAAGCCCCAGGATATAAGGCCTCGCAGCCTCAGAACAAACAGCGAAGTCCAAATGGGACGGTCGGTTTTCACCTGGCGTGCAGGTAAACTCAGCCTCAGACTTGACAATGATGCCGCTCAATTTTTCCACGAAGCCCGTTGCACACAGCTGCTCTGGCGACATGTTCCAATCACCTATTGTGATCCACGGTAATTGCAGTGATGCTAACCGACTGCCTATTCTTCTGAAACGAGCGACATTGTCTCTTGTGAGGCCGATCCCCGAGTGACCGTACATGATACACACAACTAATGAAAATCCACGCATATGCAGTAGAACAGGCACGAACCCGTCGAACGCTGCACAACGATCATGACGTAGTGCAGGGGAATTCCGAGCAGCGTCCAGAACTTGAGCGGGGCGATGGTTACGAACCAGCATCCATTCTCCTCCTTCATTCGCACGGGCTTCCTGACCTGGGTGTGCCTGCTTCCATCTGCTCTTACTCCTCGCGCTGTTGGCAAGAAGCTTGTACTCGTGCGTGCGGGCCTTGGCCATCCACTTGCCGAGGTCTCGCTGATGTACATGAGTCTCGCACGCTGAAACATAATCATGTGACTGTGCCGCCTGACAGAGTTACTCCCAACTCTTGTCCCCTATGCATGTCACGTTCCCGAAAAAGAGCTTCGCCGATGAAGACGGAGCTGGCGATGGTGCAGTACTCCCCGTACTGCAGGTCCCCGATGTTGATGCACCAGTGCCTGACGGACTGCTGCTGACCCCCGTTGGCGTCGCCGTGGACGCTTGCACGTTGGAGGCTGCAGCAGCCCCCTGTCATAGGTTCTCGTCGCCGTCGGGAACCTTCACGTTGTCGCCGCTGCCTCTGCCGACTCCACCCTTGCCCTGCTCGACCGCCTTCGCTGCATCGAACCTGGCCTTGGAGATCGCAGCGGCCGCCTGCTTCACCTGCTCATCAGTGGGCCCAGCCGCCGCGGCCCCCGCGGGCGCTCCTGAAGCCGCTGCCGCAGAGGAGGCGGCAGGGCCAGGAGGGGCCGAGCCTGGCACGGCCCCGCCCGCGGAAGCCTCCGTGGTCGCTACGGGAGGCTTGCCCTCGCCCCCCTCAGCTGCGACCTCGGCGGCAGGCTCCTCGGCCTTGCGCTTCTTCTTCGTCATGCGCCCCCTCACCTCCTTCTCGAAGGCGTCCACCTTCTCGATGAAAGCACGCACCTGGGCGTCCTTGGACTCGAAGGCGGATTTGTATGAATCCAATTCTGTCTTCAACGCTCGCAACTGAACTTTGTCGGCCTCCTCACAATCCCAACTCTCGAACTGCTCGAAGATGGCCGCATTGATGCGGAGCTCGAAAGCGGGCTGCCCACCTGCAGTGCTGGCTGCCTGCGTGGCCGCGACGCCCTCCGCCTTCGCCAAGGCCTCCGCCGCGCGCTTCTTGTCGATCTCCGCGCGAGCCAGGTCCTCTGCGGCCTTCTGCCCCTTGCCCTCCGCCACTTGCAATTGTTTGCGAAGGCGGAGGACTTGTGTCACCGTCTGCTCATGGCGGTGAGACGCCGCACGCCAAGCCCCGTCGGCCTTGCGCACCGTCTCCGCCTCCGACACCGCTGCCTGCTCCTCCTGCTGCGCCTTGAGCTGGAGCCGCTCCTTCTGCACCGCCAAGGCCGACTTGAGCGCCAAGTCGTCCGTGACCTCGGCGGCCTTCTGGAGCAGTGCCTACAGCTCCTCGTTCTGCGCCTTGGCTGCCGTTCCCGCGCCCCTCCTGGGGCTACGGTTGCGACTGCCGCGCTGATGGTTGTCACGCCCTGCTGCCTCGGTGCCGCCGTTGCCCTGCACGGCGATCTCCTCCACGTGATCGTCGAAGGAGACTCTGCTGGGCGACCCCGGCACAAATAATCGGATCTTCTTGCTGCAAGTGGGGCAGCGGGCGTTTGTGGCAGCCAGCTTGTCGTTGTACTCACACGTCTTGCAGTGCACGCACCTGCTCCATGGCCGACTGGTCGTCCGACCGCGGCTGCGAGGGCGCGCTGCACCTGCTGCTGTCATCCCTGCTCTCGTTAGCCTCGCGAGAATGGGCTGGTCTCTAAAGGCTATCCCTCAAGCACCCCGATGGAGGTACAGGGATCGGGCTCGTGCAAAATGCTCGAGCCCAATTGGCTTGAGGGAGCAATAGGAGGAGGAGGAGGAGGAGGAGGAGGAGGAGGAGGAGGAGGAGGAGGAGGAGGAGCAGGAGCAGGAGCAGGAGGAGGAGGAGGAGGAGGAGGAGGAGGAGGACGGGTGCAGGATCCGTAGCCTGGCTCAAGGCCGTCGCCTGGGGGCGTCCCTTCCCCTGGGGTTGGGGCTCAAGACGCCAGGCACAGGGCCTGCGCGCACCGCTCTCCAAGGGCCGCCAGAGGCCCGCCAGCGGGAAGGATTTCTCTTCGTACCCTGCAGAGCGTGCAGCCATGTCGTTCAGCAGGGGCTGTCAGCAAGGAGTGGGCAAAGGTGCAGGCAAATCCGCTGCGCAGCAGACGTACACGGGCGGCTGGCACAACCACCCTGTTGGCGCCAAGTGGAAGTGTGCATGTGGGTGCGGAAAGAATCAGGCAGATTGGGACTGGTGCAAACACTGCGGTACACCACGATCGTCGGGAGAGGTCTTCTTGCCGCGCGAGGGCCAGCCTGGCGGTCCGTTGGGCCAAGGTGTGCTTCCGCCTCCTGGTCTCCACCTCGCCCCTTGGCGTGCAGGGGCCCGAGGACCTGGTGGCTGCGGCGGCGGCCAGGACCTCAAGAGCCTTACTGACGCGGAGTTGCAGAGTTTGGAGCAGCTGGGTAGCAAGACGAACAATGGCCAGCTCGCCAGTGCCTGTCAACAGGGACGAGTGCGACGCTCACAGTCAGGACGTGCAGCACACGATGTGGCGGGTGAGGCGCATGCCAAACTACAGTACGTGGAGAAGCAGCTGCTGGAGGCGACCGAGAAGCTCGAGCGCCTCACCCAGCAGCACGCGGAGCAGCAGCAGGTGGTCACGGTCATGGTCGCCCAGGTCGAGGAGGCCAAGACCGAGTACCATCAGGCGGTGTCCGCGCTGCACGCCACGACCCTGGGCTCGCAGCAGCAGGCGCCGCCGCATGCGGCTTCAGCGAAGTTGGGCATTCGAGACATTCTGGAAGGCAACATCCAGGACATCTTCGTCGACGACGAGAGCCTCTTCGGCTTGGGAGACGTGCGGGAGTTGGATGCCACTGACAAGTCCCAGCTGGAGGAGAGGAAGCGCCTGCTGGCTGAGGGGCTCAAGTCGGTCACGGAGAACTTGTTCAGTTCGATCAAAGAGAAGGCGGAGTCCCTGGTCAAGCAGCACAGCACCAGGAGCACTCGGAGCGCCCCAAGAAGAAGCGTAAAGGAGGAGTTGATGGCGCCCGCGGCGAGCAGAAGGTTCCCGAGGGCGTGGCCGTGGAGAAGCAGGGGTCTGCCATCGGCGGCGGGGCGGCCGCTCCGTCTACTGAGGCGCCTGCCCCTGACGCCCTGGCGCGTGCCAAGGCAGCTCTTGCGGCCACGGGCGAGAGCCCGCCGCGGGTTTGACCAGAGCCTGCGTCCAGCTGCTTGCAACCACCCCCCTTGTCCTCCTCCCCCCTCCCCTCCTCCTAAGTTGCAGGCAGCGAAGCGCAGAAGTGAGTTTGTGATTGAGACTGCAAACTCTTCGGGCTGGGGGCCTCTTTGTAGGTTTTTGGCTGCTGAATCTCGGGCCGATGTCGTTTTGACTCAGGAGATCGGTCGAGCTCAGTTCCAGATTAAAGAGGCTGAATCTAGATTGGCGTCCTTAGGCTGGCAGTGCAGCCTGAGGCCCTCTGTTGTTACCCAGGACGGCGGGCTTTCGAGTGGTGTCGGTGTCGGATGTCGTCGTTCGTTCGGGATGAGCCTGCCGCCTGGGGCTAGTCACCCACGCCTTCCGAGCCCCCACAGGGTCCACATATGCTGGGTCAATGCGTATGTCCCTGGGGGATTCCTAGCTGTTTCGCTCTACCTTCCGACGGGGGGAATGGCCTTGGGGCCTGAGGGGTTTCAACTGTTAGCCAGGCTAGGGGAACATCTGCATGGGTGGAGATTGCCGTACGTCATAGGCGGAGACTGGAACTGTACCCCCCCCCCAAGCCCTTCGTGAGTGCGGGTGGGGATCTCGTCTTCGTGCTACGCTATGTGCGCCTTCGCTTCCTACGTGCAGATGTGGTAAAGTCTGGAAGGTTCTTGACTACTTCTTGGTCTCGCCAGGGTTGGCCAATTCTGTCACCTCAGTCCGTCGCAGTCGAGTTTCCACTTTGAAGCCGCACTGGGCCGTGCAGCTCGTGATGCGTCACAAGGCCGTGATGCCTGAGGTGCCGCGCCTGTTCAGCCCCAAGAGTTTTCCGCGGGGCCGAGCCGAGCTTCCTTTCGGGCCGCCGACGTCGCCGGTGGACTGGGGCACGCTCGCTGCTCGCCTTGCAGAAGCGCCTGATGTTCACAGGCTCCAGCTGTTTTTCTCTGAGTTCTTGGGCTTATACGAGGACGAAATGTGCAGGGTCTTCTGTCTGGACCAGGAGCTCGGGGATCAATGCCGCGGCAGGGTCCAGGGTCCGAAAATCCAGGCCGTTCCCGAGATTCTGACCACTGGGGGTCCGTATCCTGTGGGGTGTGCTCTGGCCAGAAGGTGGCGTTCCCTCCATATTTGGATCCTGGAGCTGCATTGCATTAGAAACAAGGGGGTGTCTTGGCTGGGGGTTGATACTCAGTGTATCACTAACAAGATCGTCCGAGGCCCTCCTACCCTTAGGAGCTGCCGGGAGTGGATCTCCTGGCGGCCTTCTCGCGCTGGGCTGCAGGACACCTCTGCTCAGGAGCTCTACCGCTGGGCGATCGACGCACGGAGCATCGCCGACAGGCTCGAGCGCGTGCAGGTTTCGTCGCGTCAGTCTGCCTGGAGGAGCTGGGTCAAAGAAGCTGTCAAAAAAGGGGGGGGGCACCGCTACACCGAGGCCCCCACTGGATGGGTCCCTTCGAAGCCCTCGGCCCCTGGCCAGGCCCCTCCAGGCCCGCAGGAAGTTTTAGGCGATTAACTTCGGAGTGGGAGGGGATTTGGAATACTCCAGGGGGGGATGTTCCTGATGAGGACCCACTCGAGGCTCTAAATGACCACATCGCCAGCATTCGTGATGAGGAATCTAGCGGCATGTTGGACTGGGAGTTCGACCCCGCCGCGATCCGCGTGCGTTGCAGGAAGTTTAAGACCAGGACCGCCCTGGGCAGCGACAACGTCCACCCGAGGGATCTCCTTCTGGTCAGCGACGACTGTTTGCTCGCATTGGCAGGTCTCTGGAAGGCTATTCTTCGGCTCGGTCACGTTCCTAGTCAGATGCAGATCATTCTGGTGGCGATGATTGAAAAACCTGATGGGGGTCACAGGCCTATCGGGCTGCTCTCGGCTTTTGTTCGGGTGATGTCTCGGATGCTTCGTCGGGCCGCAGTCTCCTGGGGACGTGACCACCAGCGAGAGCATTTCTATGGCAGCGCTGGCCGTTCGTGCGAGCGGGCGGTCTGGGAGCAGTCGGCCATGGGTGAGTTTGCGCAGAACACAGGCATGTCGTTCGCGTCCTCCCTCCTCGAGACTACCAAGGTTTATGGAAAAAGTGGCGCATATCCCTTTGGTCAGAGCTGCCATCAAACACGGTTTCAATGTTTTTTGTTCTCCGTTATCTGTTGACGGTCTATCGGGGCCAACGGCACGTCCTCTTGGGGAAGCTGTGTACTCGTGGGGTG